GCTTTTTAGATCTTTGTGGTTTCAGTATTATATTTTAATAGGATGAAGGATTTTAGTCATGGGATGTCTGCATCTTAAGTTATCAGAGAAACAAGTTGAGCTAACGTTATCGGCAGCAAAACAGCCTAGCAAAAACACAAACTTAAACTGAAACTGCTTTATTCAGTGTTTTTACTGGTTTTAATCTCAGAACCTCAGGACACTGAGGGAATTCAAACAGGGAGAAACTGACTGCAATGACCCCATGTTACTTCCCGCTGAAACCAAACTCTGTCTTTTGTTATTTTATAAAAAAGACAGACCCTTTGTTACAGGACATTTGGTAAATAAGAGTTTTTAATGTTTTCATGTTTTGTTAGGTCTATGAGGTTCTGAAGAGGACGAGATGCACCCGAGCCAAATACTCCATGGGTAAGAGATTCTGCCTGCAGCTCTAATTCAAGAGATACAAATCAATATGCAATTAATTTGGGCTGTTATCATCCGAGTTAGTGTAATTTTTACCACAGAAGAATGCCAGCATATCTCCACAGTGACAGATTCATTCTCCTGAGAGAAGAAACCTATCGAGCGCAGTAACTGCATGACCCTTCCTCTGGTGCTCGAATCAAACACAGCCACTTATGTGAAGCTTTATTACACAGTGGTGTTAACTTAAATTTGATGGTAACTGGTGAAGTTATTCAGCCGCACCTGGGTTCAACAGTTCTTGCATGTGTGTTATGAAGTAAAATTCAGTTGGAGAACACAAATACAATAAATATGTTTTGGTCACATTTTGATCAGAAAATGTGGAATACGCAGGGACTGGTGGAGGGAAATCCATTTTTTTTTTGTTAAATACACTTGTCTGTCTTTGTCAAAGCCAAACATTTGGTAAGACGATCTGAGCTGACTTTCACAATGTAGACAAAATGTAAAGGATATCTCTGGTTTGTAACAACTTTTATTTTTATTTTAGTGCCTTCATTCCTATCAGTTTTGAATGTATTTGTTTTGGTTGGTTGCAGTTTCATTATTAAGCTCACATTCTTAACATATTAAAACTGGCAATTTAGGCAAACACACTAATTTGCCAGAAAAAGTAAAAGAACATTGTTTGGGTTAAAATAGCTACACTGTAAAATGCTTGGTTGTAAAATTACAGTAAATTACTGGCTACTAGTTGCATGGATTTCACAGTAATTACTGTAAATATTTCACAGTAATTGACTGTAGATATTTTACAGTAAATTCGAATAAAAGTACAACTACATACTGTGACTTTACAGTTGCCATGCCCATGGAATTACTGTGATATAGCAGTACAGAGCTGTATGGTACCTGGCTGTACATAAATTACAGTAATTACCTATATCGTTCACACTTTTACTGTAGAAGTAATGCAACACAGTAGCCAGTAATTTACTGTAAATATAAAAATGCAAATAATACGATAATATATTGTAAATTTGACTAGTTAACTGGGATTTTACCATAACTACACAATTCAATCAGCTCAATCAACAAAGAAAAACAAAGAAAATGCCCATTTTAACTTGTTATTAATCCATTGAAGTGCAAAGTACATTTCACAGTGTCTAGGACATGTTGTTACGGCCCCAACCTCTACTCCGCGGTAGTGGCTCGTGCTGAGACCCGCAACAGCCACACCACGGGCCGTAGGACCCAGAGCTCCCCCCCCAACCAGAAATCAAATATAAACCCTATGGGAAACTAAATAAAGCCGCGAAAACTGGACTACCTGAGGCCTATACTACGAAGCTGATATGTTTGAGTTAGCCGGTTGGCCTAATCCAAAACATACGCGCTCTCGCTAAACTGTAATACGACGTGGGTTATCAAGTGGATCGCTCAAGCCAGCCGTGTCCTATCTAGTTAGGTGCGCGTTCACATGAAAGGGGTGGTATTTGGAGCATTCGACCAATCACAAACATGGAGAAGCATACTGACAGCGCAGCGTCATACTTCCTGAATGAAAAGTGAACTATAATATTAGACATATGAATCAAAATGGCAAAGAGGTATTCTAAGGAGAGTGTCTCCCAGCGTTAGGATAGGCGAGACCTCCTTCTCCTCCAGCTTCTCTTTATATATACATGGCTGAGTGGAATTTGGAACACCTGGGCAGAGGCGGAGCCAGGGGCAGACCAGGGGCCCTTCTCACTTCGGTTAAATGGATTCCTTGCGTCCCTCACTTGCGTCGTTTCCCTGTGACTAGTCCCTCCCACCAGGGAAGCATGGAGAGATGCACGTTAATTTTTCAATCACTTGTATAAAGTTTTACCCTGTTGAGGGGAGTACCCTGGTCAAAAATGCAGAACAACACTTTGGTTTTACGTGGAAACTCAATAAATTGCATGGTGACATTTTATAATGGTACTAAAGTATTATAAATCGACATTATAAAATTGTTATTTAATGACAAAATGGTGAAATGTCCAGAAATGGACACTAAGTGTTATATTGACTTAAATCTTAAGTGTTCACTTTAGTTACGTCGTGTCAATTAATGACACTTACATGGTCCTAGTTGCTAATGGTCCTAAAGTGTTGTACAATGACATAATAAAGTATCATTTTATGACGGATAAGTCTGGTAGGAGACACTATTGTGTTGTTTAATTCACTAAAAAGAACAAAATAGTGAGAACGAACGAAATTTATGATTAAAGAAAGAAAGCATGTCCAAATGAATTTACTGTCCCTCGTGGCGACGTACACGGATTTTATTTACATTTTAACTTTAACAACAGAACCGAATAAAAAAGTCCCACGAAGTACCCGTAATTAGGACTTGCTCGATTCGGTTTTTCTCCGTACCGTTAAATTGGGCTACAGTCGTGTAAGAAGCTTTTGAACAACTGAAAGCTCACTACAGACTGTACACGAGGGGAGAACAAAAGAAAGACAGGGACCGACGGGGACCCGAGGCGGAGACGGGTCCACGTGGACCCGGGAAGAGTGAATAAAAAGTAAAGGAGCGAGGGAGCCCAAGGAAGCCAGAGTGGCCTTCAACTAAACAGACGCGGTAGAACTCATCGCCATAGGGTTACTGGAATAAAACGGCCTCCTCGCTCCTCGCTATTACCTCCTCGATATTATGCTCCTTGGTGGTCCTGGTAGGAAGCTACTCTAGGAGTCTTGGTGAAGCGGGGCGGGGAATGACACATAGCGAGTGACTACCTGCTACGTCACGTACGTTACTAGACTACGAAGACTTACTCCTCGAGCACCCAAAAGGGTCGCCGCCACTTCTTTTATGTACTTGGAGTGCCCTCAGGAGAGTCAAGAATATGGCACAAAAAAAAGTTAATTACATAGTTAAATACAATTGTTACACAACTATATTAGACTTGTTGTTTCACCCAGTTTTTAGTAAATTAAGTAAAAAACCCTTTGTAAAAGTACTAGCGAAAAAGCAAAATGTAAAAGTAAATAACAGTAAAGGTAAGCAGTCAGTAAATTGCACGATAATTTTACAATTAAACGATGGTATAGGTCTAGTTTGTTGTTTACACGTTAGGTTACTTACAATGTAGATTGACCCAAAACTATCTATGTTAATGACATAGAAGAAAAGAAGAGAGTTAATAAAATAAAGATAACACGTGAGATTAGTTATAATTAGTTTGATAACAAGCAAATATGGTAAATTTTTAAACTAAACTAAATAAACCAGATTGTTGCTACTATGTTTACAAACACAGTCATTTACACATCCGCCCACCACACACCTTTATTGCCCCTGTCCTCGACCGACGAACAGTCTGCTAGTCCGACACGTCGCAGTAGTGTTTGCCCTACAGGCGAAGTGCACTGCGAGGCCTCCTTTCCCTGCAGCGGTTAACGAGAAGTTTTGAGTAAAGGGACGAAGAGC